AACTAACTGCTTTTCTCTCATTGCTTTTAAAATTCTCTGTATTTAACCTTTGCTATTTTAATAATGTGTCTTGGTATGGGCCTCTTAGGGTTCATCTTTTTTGGGACTCTCTGAGCTTCCTGGGGTTGTATGTCTGTTTCCTTCACCAGGTTATGGAAGTTTTCCATCATCATTTCTTCAAATAGCTCTTCAACTTCTTGTTTTCCTCCAGGTACCCCTTTGACATGAATATTTTTACATTTCATTGTGTCCCGTAAGCTCCTTAAATTATTATTATAGCCTTGGCTTCTTTTCTCTTGTAGTTCTAATTGAGAGTCCTTGGCTTCACCATCTCCTGTGTCAGTGGTTCGATCATCCTCTTTATTCACTCTGTTGATTCCCTCTAATATACTCTTCATCTCAGATAACGTGTTCTTCATTTCTGACTAGTTCTCTTTTGTAATTTCCATTTCCATTTTTATGGTTTTTATATCTTTGTTAAAGTTCTCACTGAGTTCATCTATTCTTCCCCTAAGTTCATTGAGCAATTTTTTTAACCAGCGTTTTGAACTCTGCATTTGCTTTGTCTTCCCATTTTGGCTGCCTTTCTGTGTCTGTTTCTATGTACTAAGCAAAGCTCCTAAGTCTCCCGATCTTATTAGTGTGGATTTGTGGAGTAGGTGTCCAGTGGCACAGTCCTGAAAGGGGTTCAGCTGCAGGCCATATTAAGCCCCAGCCTGTGCACCTCTGGGGCCACCCGTTAAGATTCAGCAAGCAATCCACAGATGCTGTGCTTATAGTTGCCTCAAAAGGCCACACCAGAATTCGAGGCCAGCTGCTACCAGTGTGAGTCTAGGCACTGCTCATCAAGGAGCACCTGACTTGCTGAGGAAACACCTGGATGTGGCTTGGTAGGGCCACCAGTTGGGGGAGGTGGAGTTTCAGGGAATCCTTTCGGTGGAACGACCAATGTTATCTAGTTTACTGATGTCTCTGCTATTGCGGCGCTGAGTTTGCACACTAGAAAGTGAGCAGGGTCAACAGAGGAACAATGGATACTAACGGAACTTCTGTACAGAGCAAGTCTCACCTTGGCCCTCAAATTAGTGTCACTCTGTAAGTTCCTGCGCAGCCGAACTGGCACTGGTGCTCAGAGCAAGCAGGCCCGCACTGCGAATGTCATCTTGTGGACATGACCCCTTTAAGAGGCATCCGCGGCTGCCGGCTGCCTCTGTCCCACTTAGCCGCTCCAGACCAGGCAGCCTCATGTCTTCACCCCATCCTACCTTCTGCCATTGCAGGGTGATTTAGATTTTCCCTGTTTGTATGGATTGTTCATCTAGATCCCAGGCGATTTTTTCTTGTTGTTTGCTCCTTGTTTCTGTCACAACTTTGATTTGGTCTCGAGAGAGATGAACAAAGCCTCTATCATCTATGCCATTTATTTTTTCCTCATTGGTATACATTCTTTTCTCTACAGTACACATAAATGGTTATAGTTGTTAAACTTAAAAATCTATATATATTTGTTAGAATTTTTTCTTGGTATGTCATATGCTAGTAGATCAGATTTGAATGGCTCTTACTTTTTTTTTTTTTTTTAAATGTAATAATAAGTCACTTTGGGGCCAAAAGTTTTTGAGTCTTCCACTTAATTTTCCTTGGTTACAACTGTGGTCGAATGAAAAAAGACACTATTTAAGAGTAGAAACGCATTTGTTACTGTGCGACACTAGAATGGAAAATCTTAAGTCAAGCTCAGAAATTTGGACACTGTCATACAACAGAAAGGAGACTGACTCCCTCATGGATCACTTGTAGGATCCCTTGAAACTTGGAATGGGCCAGTTTGGACCCACACCAATATACATGGTGTTCTTCAAACCCCTTCTGATTTGAAGTCTTAGCAAACAGTTTTTGTGATTCTTTTGTTTTTTTTGGTTGTATTGCTAGAGAATTTGGGGGTTATTTCTGAACTGTGAAACTCACAGAATGTTTTAGAAGTAAGGTTTTTTTTGGTTGTATTGCTAGAGAATTTGGGGGTTATTTCTGAAAGCATGATCGCCTTCATAGCTTTTTAAATTTACTTTCTTGTTCTTTAGGCTTCCTTGATCAGTTATAGAGGTATTCTGTTCATTGCAGCTTTCAATCAAGTCTTATTTTTTAAAAAAATGTATTGGTATTCTAATTTTACTTTTCATTGAAAAATAGAATTTTAGAGCTCAATAATACCTTAGAAGTCTTATTTTTATATGCCCTCAGTTATATTATAAATCACATCATTATTAAAAGACTTACAAGATTACAGGCATTTAAGATCACAGGGTTATAAGCATTTACTGGCTTCAGGGATGATTCTAGTCCAATGCTTGGTGATAGGTAGAGTGTTCTCATAATGTACTTTTGTACATTCTTTATTTTTTAGTAACACCCAACACTTCCTTCCCCTGTTTACCACACCCAAATTTTATTTTACTTGCTTCACATGGAATCCTCGCATACACTCTTGTATAGAATTATTGCTCTGTTTATTACTAGAGGAATCCATGTTAAATTTTAGCAGGTTTCTGCCCTCTACATCTGCCTCTTTGATGGTAGCTGGGTTTACTGCTACTCACTTATTAGTGCCCTGGGTCTTAACAACCTTATTCAAACAAAACATCTTAAATGGAGGCATTAAAAAGGTCACAACAGTGAGCCATTTTGTAACTTTTGGTGCAATAAAATGGGTATGTTGTGTTTTGGAATATAAGACCTCTGAGTCTAGCTATTCATTTTCTTTATCTATAAAACATTTTAGAATAACAGCTTACATCTGTTTGGGTTTTAAAATTTCACATTTTGAAGAAACATCGCTGTTATGTAACTCCAAACCAGACCTGGGAGGGAGCTAGCTTTCTGACAGGCCATGTTGAGAACTGTAGAAGTTGGGAGAAGTATTTGTTTTAGCTGTGGAGCCATGTTTGCTGGCAGTACTTCTCTAACATATGGGGAACACATTTTCATTATTATTTCTTCATATAGTAAATAACAAGACATATTCAATAAGATTTTTACCTGAAGAATATTTGAAAATTTTTCACACATCAGGAGTTTATCTTATGAGGGATATTCACTACCCGAAACCAGAAATAAATTTGTTTAAACATTTACAGCACATTTAGTTACCTTAGACTGTCAGTTAATCTTGTTTTAGAAAGTAAAGTTGGGATTTACTGTCGGCCCACTTTTTAAAATAAATACTTGATGGAATAGTTTGGCAATTTCAAATGTGTGGTTTTTAAATTACTTCTTTAAATTAAAGGAACAATTTAAAGAATATTTTTAATAGAGGAAAACAGGCAAAATGTTCAACTACAGGATTCAAAATCTAATATTTATTAAGTACCAAAATGTGCAGATAACATACAGTGCAGTTTTATGGGTTATTTTAATCAAGAAGTGAAGAATGCTAGCATGGACAGTTTACAATAAATTATAAGGCCTTTTTCATATTGTAAATGTGAAGTATTCACGTTCTTGTTAAAGTATGATACATTTACATTTGGGAGGAAAGAGCATATAAAAGAACATTAGAATCATCTGCCTGTTAGTCCTCCTGGGCTAGTGTGTGGGGTCCACTGGAGTTAAGGTTTTTTTACTTTAGGAAATATGGAGGTGGGTTCTACTTTAGAATTTTAGAAAGTTTAGTAAAAGCAAATAGATTATACTGAGGGTGAATATACTATGTGCAGAAAAATGCACTAATATGTATTTTAGTTAGTGTACTAGTCAGGGTTCTGGGGTCAGATTGCCTGGGCTTCTTACTTCCTGACTGTGTGCCTTTAGGGAAGTTACAGAGCTGCTTTGAACCTCCCTCTCCTCATCTATAAAATGGGGATAGTAATAATACCTGTCTTTATAGGAGTGTGAGGATTCTGTGAAATAAAAACTTATGAAGTGCTTATTAGCACAGCGCTTGACACATAAAAAGTGCTTGGTAATTCTAGCTCTTTTTGTTACACAACTAGTTGTTAATACTTACATAAGTGTGGTGATTATCTCTACCACTCAGACTTCATTACTACAGATTACTCTTCTCCCTGACCGCTCTTGTATCTAAATCAGATTTTCAGGCCCTCTTCTACTTTGTCTGTTTCCAGCCCTCCATTCCTTCAGAGTGGATAAGCCGCATCTTCCTTGAGGCGGGCAGAGTTCCAACATTGATGCTTTGTTCCTTGGGCCCTGTTTCTCAGCCGACTCTCACAAGTGGCTCTGCCTGTCTCTTCTCTTCCCTACCCCTCATTCCTTCCACCTGCCTTGCCCTCTTTACCAGTTCCTCACTCTTCTTTCTCTTGTCTCCCTCTCCTTTCCTTCTTTTTCCCTTCCTTTCTTCCTCACTCTTCTTTCTCTCCAACCTCTCCCCTCCTCCCTCTCTCTGTTCCCCTTCCTCTATCCTTGTCTTCCTTATCCCTTTTCTTCTCTCTTGCTCCCTCCTTCTCTTCCTCTCTGCCCCTCCTTTCCACCACTCCTCTTTTCCTATCTCTCTTCTTTCTTTTTCTTCCCCTCCTTTCCCTGCTTTCTCGTCCTTTCTCTCTCTCTACTGTCTTTCTGCTCCCAACTCTTTCTCCCTCTCTCCCCCTTGATCCCTCTCTTGCCATCCCTGTTTCTCTTTTAAACTTAACACTTCTTAAGCAGAAAAATGTCAGGTCTTTAAAGTCTTTATTGCTTGTGATGGGAAATATTTATTTTGTCATTTCATAGCCAGAGCCTCTTTATATTGTACTTCTCTTTCCATTTCAAAAGGGTGTCACAGCATCATTTTATGTCCCTTGGGTTCAAAAGTTAGTAGAACCCTAAAGGCAGTTTTAGTTAACTTGCTTTATAAAACCTATGTATACTGAATCTATAAATTTATTTAATGTTAGCTTTATAATAGTAAGTTAAAATGAAATAATGTTTCTAAATAATAATTATGGCTTCATATAGTGATGCCAGACAGAGTCTGATCTTTTTTGCTTAATTTATTTTTTTTTCCCCAGATTCCTTTCTCACTGGTCCAGTTTCCCTTGTGGGAGTCCCTAAAAGTAAGTTTTACAATCTTCATGTAAAATTTCTATCATAAATACCCAAGAGTTTCAGTGTGAAATAGTAGAATATAATATTTTAAAAATTCAAAATTATTAAGAGTTGAAAATATTTTTTTGCGTGTCATTCACACGTTAATTCAGTCATTTAAACTTGTTCAGCTATCTGTGGTACTGAGAAATAAGCATATGGGCACAACAAAAATCCTCAAATGTTAGGAAAAGCTGTGCCTTACTTTCTTCTGTATTATAGCTCTTTTTCCACCCAGTTGAATTTTATTTCACTTCAGTGTGTGTGTGTGTGTGTGTGTGTAGACGTTAAGGAATAACAATGAGGGTAAATGAAAAAGGAAAGAAAGCAAGGTCCTCATATCTGTAGGCCTAGGCCAGGCCTCCTCCACCCACATTTAAGGGTGGGCATGAGAAGGGAGCTGCAGAGGGCATGCCGCTCTGCTGGTCTGGACCTTCCATCTTTGCTGCTTACCCCACTAGGCCTAGGAACCCCCAGTGAGAAGTCACAGAGCATGGTGAGTTGTGCGTCAACCTTGGAAAGGTCACTCATGTTTAAATACAAACAAATGAATTTTTAAAAACCTGTGTTCAAAAATGCAGAAATGTATTTGTTTTTCATCTTACGATGGGATGATTTTAAAAATTGTGTCATGCTATGAATTGTGTATTTGTCAGCATTTTAAAGACTATAATTAAAAAGAAAATTATTTAATAGAGAACATCTTATGTGGTAAGGATGTTTTATTTTGTAAAATTTGAGAGTTGTATGCACATGCACACACTCATATCTGTACTGGGTTGTAATGTAAAATGTATTTCTCAATGAGGATAATGATCAAAAGAATTTGAAAGCCCTTGTTCAAGTGAAAATGGTTTGTAAATTACCGAACTGTAAAATGACAAAGTATCTAGGTAGACATTTGATAATACAAAAAATAAAGGAATTATTCCCATAGTTGTATGGAATTAGTAATCATAGATGGCTCAGGCAAAATTTCTTTTGAAGAGCAGCAAAAATTATTTGGACTATAAGACATATTCTATTAAGATTATATACTGAGGATAAAATGAGATAAAACATTATTCATAAAAAAACTCTGGAATATTAAGTACTGAGAAAGAGTTCTTATGAGTTATCCGATTTTAAGGAGTAGTACAATTTATTTAATATAGTTTCTTGGGTCTTTGTTGGGTCGTTGTTTTGTTTGTTTTTGTTTTTACCATTTTCTATGTGGTACACAGCAAAAATGGATTTCTCAGGCAGAGTTTCCGGCCATGATGTAACAGCTATCCAATGAGAAGGTCACATTCCATGAGCATAACAGCTCTCCTTTTTTGTGTGTGACAAAAGAACAATGGAGCCAACAGCTGTCCAGCAAACAAGACTCACTTTATTAGTGTCTCAATAACCAGCATTCACGCAACTTCTGCACACTCTCTAACATCCTATGCCCTGTCTCTGCATAGGAATGTTTTGAGGCCCAAAAAGGGAAAAAGCATGGTTTATTTTTTTACAGTGGTAAGGACATTTGTAGTATTCTAGCTAGTTAAGAAATGTCTAAAATTTTTCAGAGTAATCATAGTTAACAATGTTAAGTTTTAACAGTTTTCTTTGAGCAAACGTTAAGATGCTATAGTTTTTATTATTTTTTGTAACTCAGATTTATTGAGGAATAATTTTCATACAGGAAAATTCATGCTTTATACATTTTTATGAGTTTTGACAAATGCTTATGACTGCCACCATAACCAAAATATAGAATATTTCTACTTTTCTCTTTTCCAGAATATCATATAAATAGAATCACACATTATTTAGTATTTTGTGCCTGGCTTCTTCCCCTTAATATGACTGTTGAGATTCATTCATTTTTGCCTGTACCAGTCGTTGGTTCCTTTTTTGTCACTAACTAATATTCCATTGTACAGATGTACTGTGATTTGTTTATCCGTTTACTAGTTAATGCACATATGAGTTGTTTCTTGTTTTTGATGATTATGAATAATGCTGCCATAAGTATTTGCATATAGCTATTTGTATGGATGTATGTTTTTGTTTCTCTTGGGTAAGTACCTGGGAGTGGGATTGCTGGATCATAGGGGAAGTATAAGTTTAATTTTGTAAGAAACTGTGAAAGCGTTTTTCCAAAGTGGCCGTGCCATTTTGCAACAATGTATGAGAGTTCCAGTTGCTCTGCATCCATGTCATTATTATTATTATTATTGGAGTCTAAAAGAAAATTTAACCATTCTAATAGTTGTGTACTAGTATCTCATTGTGGTTTTAATTTGCAGTTCTCTCATGGCTAAATAATGTTGAACATCTTTTCATATAATAGTGTTTTTCTAAAAAACATTCAACTGAAATATATTGCTTTTTAGAAGTGAACAATTTTTGGCACTTTTATTTTTGTTTACGATTTTATCCATTTAAATTTGCTTTTGCAATCATAGAGATTGTATTATATGGAAGGGTTTCTCTATTGTGTTTATGGAAATATACTCAAGGAAATTTTTCTCTGCAAGCACTTCAGCAGATGGCATTCATATTGTGCTCTAAGGAGAGGGAGTCAAGAGATGGGGATGGCCACTTTCATCTTAAATTTACTCTGCCTAAAATTGAAGTTATTAACTTTCTAAAATCATTTTCTGCTGTTCTCTCCATGATTTTTGTTAATCATACTACCATTTTCCTGACCATTTGATCTCAAACCTCAAATTAAAATCTGATTCTCTTTTTCTTTCTCCATACCATATCAATTCACCAAGTTTGGTTGACTCTGACTTTTGGGGACCTATGACCTCCTTTTTATCAGATTCTGTTAACTTATGCCTAGACTAAGTTAACAGTTCCTCTACTTTCTCATCCATTCTACATATTGAATTTGTGTGATCTTCCTTAAATACCTCTTTGGAGTTCTCAGAAATTTATAACTTGGCACTTGGGATGTACACACTGTGTTCTTACTGTTTTTTGTTTGTTTGTTTTTTCCTTTCAGCTCCCCTCTCCTTATACATTTCTTTGCAAAATCATTTTCCTTCAGCCAGAGTAGGCTCTTTACTGCCCCTATCCTTTGGCTCGTTTCTGAAATGTGCTCCCATGGGTTCCAATACTATGCATCTTTTAAGGCCAGTTCAGTTTTTTTTTTTCTTTTTTTCCTGCTTAATGTCTTTCAATCCAGGCTATGAAGATTTAGCCTTACGTAGCAGTTGTCTGTATTATTGATTGATGTTTAATCATGCACTGTACTGTGTTTAAAACATCTTAGAACTAAGCCTTAGCATATTCTTACAAGGCCTCAACCCCTTCCATTTATAGAGGTGACAAACATGCTGTCAGTATACATGTGCCTGCCTATTCTGAGCTAGAAATTGTTCCATTTCACAGCACCACCAAGGTGAATAGGATGTAGTTGATGCCCTCGGGGAGCTTATAGTCTACCAGAGAGGCACACACCCACAGATAATTTCAGGTAATGTGTCTGTAATTGAAGACTATTTAAGGTAATGTGGGAGCCAGTCCCTCTGACCCTCTGACTCCCCAAATCATGTCCCTGTACTACTTCATTTCTTACATTTTTCTTTCTCTCTCTCTCTCTCTTTCTTTTTTTTAATAATACATTTACTTACAAAAAGATTAGACACCATAAAGAAGAGGAGAAGTAGAAGCAGTAGATTATCATATCTAGAACTTCTGAGAAGATCATTTTCCTTTAAGATTTATGCTGAGTTTGGAACTTTCTGACAGCCGGACAAGAAGAGAAACACAATAGGTTACATTGTTCAATGTTACCCAATAAAGATCCGTAGCCTATTATTTGATTTTGTCCCTTGGCTTTGGATGCTATCTTTATATGGATAAGTTGCACATTTGTAGCTCTGTTGTGGACCACCTCCTCTGAGTTACAGCCTCATGTGACCAACTTTCTAGTTGACATCCTCACTTAGATGTCTTAGGGGAACCAGTTCCTAACAGAAATTTTGCTTTTTATTTTTCTTTTCCTCAACCTTTTCCTTCCCAGTTGTTCCCTTCTCAGTAAGTAGCACAAATAAATATCTGTTGCTTGCTAAAGTAGAAAGCTAAGAATTATTCTTCAGTTCTCCTTTTTCCACATCCCTAATAATCCAGCTCAACAAGTCCACTATTCTGACTGAAGCCTCTAACTCACCTCTTGCTTGAATTGTTACATTGGCCTCTCAAATGGCCTCCCGGATTCCATTCTTGTTTCTCTAAAGTATCTTCTCTAACAGCAGCCAGAGTGGTCTTTTAAAGAAATAAACCAGATCAAACTCTCTCAAACCCTTCAGTGACATCTCTTTGAAAGAATAAAATTCAGAGTTTAAACGATGGCTGGTAGGGTCCTCTGTCGTCCACCTACCTCACTGACCTTATCATATGCCACCCACCTACTACACTCCAGCCACAGTGTATCCACTTACTACACTGTAGCCTTGCTGGCCTCCCCTCTGATCTCTATTTATTTGTTGTGCCCTCTGCCAGATATAGTCTTTATTCATCCATTCTCTACATCATTACTGAGTGCCTATAATGAGCCAGGCATTTTCTAGGGTCTGGAGATATGGTAATGAGGAGGACTAACAAATATCCCTTCCCTCGTCGAGCTTTCATTCTAGCTCTTCCCCTAGGCTTTTCTCATGTCCAACTCCGTCTTGTTTCCCAGATCTTAGATCATATGTCACCTCAGAGAGACACTCCTGGTCCACCCCTCTTTTGAGTGTTACCCTCCCTTAATCCCTCCATAATAGTCACAGCACCTGTTTATTTTCTTCCAGCATTTTATAACTGTTTATGTAGTTATATACTTGTTATCACCTGAATACTTACTTAAAAAAATCAACTGTGTTTTGAGCTGATGTTTAGTGCTTATGCCCAGCACTGGGCTAAGCACTATATAGTTGACCTTTGAACAGCATGGGGTTAGGGGCACTGATCCCCACACGGTTGAAAATCTGCATATAAACTTAAT